AAGTTTCGCAGTGAGTAGACAACATCTATCTTCAACTGTGGTGAAAATTTCCGACTCCTAGCTGATCATGGTCGTGAGCTATTAATTAATTATTATTAATGGCATTTTCATTAATTAACTCATATCTTCGTCAAAAAGGCGCATGGCCCCAAACCAACTTGCGGTTTTTCATTACTGACTATTCCCTACATGATGAAAATAGTCTGAGTCGAAAAGGTTTTAATCACCTCGAGAGGTTCCGTCGTAAGATATATTGCTTCAGAAGTGGTCTCATAACGGAACAAAAAGGTCTCAAAATTCGCTTCCACATTTTCGGGTAGATCAAAAGTTTTTTTGAGATAAAGCCCTAGACCTAAGCAAAATATGTCTGATGATTCCGACACATGAATGACATTATACTTTGCCCATGATAGTAGAAGGTAGGACATGTATACATCAGAGTCTCGACAGGCGTCTTTTTGTCAGATCTTGGTCATCGGTGCCTTATTTGCTCATGCATTATCATAGATCTATAATATACAAACATCAAAACAGAGGGTCACATCACCTATTCTCCAGTCTTCTCATCTACAAATAACGATTCAACCTACGACCCAACAACATGAAAGCTAGCACCTGTTCAAAAGAGAAAGTAAGCAGAAAAGCTCAAAACAACAAGGATTGAGATGAAGAACATCTATCCTACTCAATTTTTTTAAGAATTATTTGAAAGATAGCATATATACAGATCTACAAAATGAAAAATGCATACTAGATCTCATTTTTTCACGATGAACCATCCAATAGGTTAAGCACTTGTATTTAAAGTATCAGCTTTCAAAGCAATAAGCTTAACCCATCAAGTAATCCAGTAAGTATCTGAACTTTTATGTATAAAAAGATGTATCGAAATAAGGTTTAAAAATAAAATTTTATAAATCTATTATTTTATGGAATTTTTAGTTTTTCAAATTTAGATTCCCCATAAATTTTCTTAGGCAATTTTCTGTCATTTGAAGGTCGTGCCGATTATTTTGCGAGGCAAATTTTATGCTTTCTTCGAGAATATGCTGCATAATAAAAATGTTTACACATCTGAATCATTTATTTAATATCCCCAAATGGAGATCATGATACTTAATGGGTTAAAAATCACTTTCGAAGTCTGTTTTGATATGACATATCGCCTTTTTTATTTTAGATAAACTAAATTATGACTCTACCAAAATCAGAAATATCATCTACGGCGAACACTAATGAACCAGATTTAATATCATCCTTTTGTAGGCTTGACACACAAATAAACAGTTTAATTATCATAAAAAACAAGAACAACCAGCAACAGGACTATTGGTTAACGTACATGAAAGAATGTGACAAGCTAGAGGAAGTACAATTAAGAATCGATTTCGATACTTTAAAACAACAGCAGGTTGAATTAGAGATAGAACTTACGGGAAAAAAAAAGAATTTGAGAGAATTCAAACAAAGCTAACGTACGTGGAACAGCATAATAACCGCTTAAACATATCCAGAAATAGTTTGGCAAAGGAAAATGACGAATTGAAAAATAAATTGTCCGTTTCCTTGTCTCATACCGATGATGCAATTACAATCGCCAAGTAACCGGAATCGAATGACTTAACTAGTATATCAGAGTTAAAATCAGATATGATTACAACTGAACAAGCAAAAATATTTATTACCGACATTAATCAACGACGCCAGTTTATCGACCCTGACTATAGACAATTGTTGCTGGGTGCAATAAAAAATTTAACTGTAAATTTATATACTTCATCAGTCCATTTTCTCTATGAGTTGATACAGGTGACATAAATCAGTAGCTTTTTCATAATAAGATAAGTTTTGACCAATATCTCTTTTCTAGAATGCAGATGATAACGATTATTGTTATAACATTGATGTGCCTCAGTTACGTATTCAATTTGCTAATAATTATTTGCTGTTATCCAACAATGAACAAGATTTAAACCCATACAATGTTTCGGCCGTATGTGCTATTGCTTGCAGTACAAAACAAGCGGGAAAACATATTGGACAGAAAGATTTAGATTTCAAATCAGTATTTGCTGTTACAAATACGTCAACAATTGTTTCACATAAATGGAATTTTTATTTTCAAATAACGGGTAATGATCAACTATGCTACATAAGGCTCTATTGGTTAGATTTTCCACTTCCCAATGTTCAGCAGACAATCGAATTATATCCTTCACAAACCCATATTTATCTACCATTCGACAAATCTCCAACACCATCCGAAAAGCTACTGAATGAAATGATTCAAAATGTAAGAGATCCGTGTGTTTTGTTAAATATGGGAAAATTGAAACGAGTCGAGATTGTCGATAAAATATGCGGAAAGGAATGGAACATCTACAAAAGAATTGAAAAAGAAAAATTAATTTATTTAAAGAAAGTTGAATTTAAAAACGTCACATTTGTCAATGTAACCGGCTCTATTGTTTCAATAATTGATGAATCAATTAAGGAATTGTCTTGTTTCCGCGTTTATACATGTTACATTAACATACCATCAAATACAAATTAATCAGAGAGATGCCCATCTGTCGTTTTCATCCATCTGAAAGATAAAATGTTCGACAACGTGTCCAACTATTTTTCAGAAATAGGTCTCCTCCGGTTTTGAGATAGAGGGTCACCAATATCATTTGCTTAGCGTCATCAAAAAATCGAAGTCGCTCCCTACTGTCCAAAGAAAAAATGTCACATAGTAGGAAATTTCTAGCATAAATGGCTGTTTTGTAGAATAAATGGCCTTTTCTTTCAGCATAAAAGGCTAAGCCATTTATTACTTCCTAGAATAAATGGCTGTATGTGCGACGGGAGAAGCTGAGCGATGGAGTCAGTTCCCTAGACAAAAAAAAATTTGTGGAATCTTATAAGAATCTTACTCAATTCTTATATAAGATCTTCCACGAAAGTGACAAGAATTCTGCTGAACCTTATAAGAATGTTTTAAGAATCTCACAAAAATTCATAAGAAATCGGTAAGAGCAAGCAAAACTCGTACGTTATTCTTTTCAGATTCTTATGAGAAACATAATCGAATCTCCTACAGAAAAATCCCAATATAGTACTGAAAACAGTCCGACACTACCAGTGTGCCAGGGTCGATAAACGTTGAGTATAATGACTATTTACGCGACAATATATCACGGTTATTTGTTTATATTCTAATAAACGATACATATTTGAAAGAAAATATTAATTATTATTATTCATCATTCGAGAAATCAAAAGTTTTACGTTCTTCATGGTGGCTTATTATGTTGGACGATATTACTAAATCGATCAAGGAAAATATGACTAAAATATTCAATACACCATGTAAGTATTTGAGTATTGAATGATGATAACAGAAAATATAGTATTGTTTTAATTTTCAGTAGAATCATTTCGTTTAAGAAATCCACATTTATTATCGTTGGCATCAAAAAGTGATTTAATGAAATTTACTAATATTCGGATTGTTGAAACGACAGTTGAACGTATTTTCCTAGAAGAATTTAATAAGACTCAACCTGTATCAGTTATCGATATGTTAGCGTGTTTTCCAAGTCAAAGCGAAAATTATTCAAATGAATTTGTTGAACGAAAAAGATCAATTAATTGGTGGAGTTTCTTGTTTGAACAAATAGATATTGCCATAAAATCAGATAAAAAAATAGAGGCGATGCTAAAAGACAAATTAGTCGAAAAACCAATATTTTTAATACGTCAAGCGGCAAACAATAGTATTAATTCACAAAATTCCATAAATAAACCACTTATTTGACAATATCTTCCCAATACTCCAACACTATTCAGATATATCACGAATGATTAAAAATTAGACATGTGGAAATCTCAGTTAATATTGCTGAATTATGAATCCGAATTTGAACGAAAAGTTATATTAAACGCCAACATTGCCTTAGAGTTGATAGTTAAGAAGATGATAGAACTTATTCACCTGGACCATATTACTGAACCAGCTGAACTTAGCCTTGATATATGGTACGATTTAAATTATTTAAAAGATCATTAAAAAAAAATTAAATGATTTAATTGGAGCTATTCTAATCCCAAACTACAATGGTTTCCTGTCTCCAGCTCATAGTTTAATAGTACCAATAATACTAGGTGTAAAAAGTGGAGATGCTAGAGAACATTTAACGATTGAGACTTACTACACTGAAGATCCGGGAGAAGGATTCTCGAAAATTCTCGAATGCGAATTATTTTTTCTCGACTCAGGTTGTCAATTATCAGATCTAGTTGTCTCCAACGCAGGTCCTGCTATCATTTGATTCATATTCACCTGAATCAGCGCATCTAGCAGAAAAAATATTAATGTCTATAGAAAATACCGATACATTTCGCTCTTTACAAAAATGTCATATTGTATGTTCCGATGGGAATTATTTGATGATTCTGTTCAAATACCCAAACATGCAGTGAAAATAGGAAATTTATTAGGAGTACATTCGAAACAAGATCGACTCTCCGGTTCCATCAAGCGATACGAGAAACAAGACAAAAATAAACAAGCGTCGGCAGAAAGCAATCGAAAAACAAAACCGATCGTATTTGATGCTGAGAAACACTTAATAATTTGTTGTACAGCAGAACACTTTTTCCACCATCATTTACAAAGTTTGTATGATAATGATGTTAAGTCAGAAGAAACATGGATATCATCGACACGTTGTAAAATTTTGATAAATTGTTCGGATAAAAATGTTGATGATAGTGCTGGATACGATTTTGTAATTTAAGATACAAAAGAAAAATTTCCAAACGATCGAATGGTAAAGAGATGAAATGTTATATCGAAGTGAAGGGTATTAGCGCAGAATATGATGGAGAACATTCAATATTTCATATATCGGAAAATGAATGAAAATTCTGCCATAATATTTTTACAAATGAAACAAGAAAACAGAAGGAAGTTTATATTATTGTTAATATTGAAAACGTTTCCAATCCACCAGCAAAGGCTTCAGTAGCAAAAATAATCAACTGGTATGAACTCTTTCCGTTCGTTTCATACTAACGCTAATCTATTCTTTTTACAATTACGAGTGAAAATATGGAGTAGATTGTATGCAAGCCTGATAATTATGCTTGTTTTATCAATAGTGGCGGTTCAATCCCGAGCAATACAACTGGTCGATGACTAAACCAACTGTCTCGTATTTCTATTCCAAAATAGCGGCACAAGCTGAACAGTTTAAAGGCAGTCCAATAGCAAATGAATCAATTACTGAACATAGAATGACGTCAAGAAATTTTCCGTTCCTTCGGTCTCTACTTTCAACGACTTTTCTCTATATCCTCCTGAATGATGTCAACTTTTAGAATCCTTCTTTTCCACGATTTCGTGAAACAGACAACCATTTTTTTCTACACTGTTCTGACATTTCCTTAGAAAATACAGCAACTAAAACGCTAAGTCTTCTATCAATTATGTGCGCCATTTACACTGTGTTAATATAACTGCCTATATCACATTTAAATCCTTGAAAGGATTAGATGTTAGTTGTACTGGACAACTACAATCAATAACTACAATCGAACAAAAGCAACAAAATAAATATAGTTTCTATAAATAAATACAGTAACTTGGTTTCTGTTTAAAAAAGTCATTAAGAATTCATATGTTGAGTTACTCTTCCGGTTTTGTTAAAGAGTAATTCAACGTAGTAAACACAATAACTATACGAAAATTGCCCAAGAGGAAAGTACTCAAGTGGTAAGAGTGATTCTGAGACAAGAGACCGTTATTCTTTATAACCATAACCACTTATTTCAGCCTATAAGAGTAATAATCATTTACGTTTTTGTATTGTAAGATTTATACCCTACCAGACAGTCCGTTGTCACGCTTTCTGGCTCGATCGGGCAAGATTGCCCGTTTTGGCAATATGTATTGCCCGAACAGGCGATATGGTGCGATCGGGCAGAGAGTATCTTACCCGTTTTGGCAAGATTTCCACACTGTTTTCTTTCAACTTTCTAAACCCTTTTTAATATTTTTCATTTTAAAGCGATTAATTTTTTTTTAACAGTGCAGTACCTGATGGTGCAATGGTCACGATTCACAACCTAATTGTGGTTATTTCGCACACTACCTTTGTTAAAAAGTTAACTACCAAGATTTTAAGTTAAAAAAATTGAAAATAACGTGAAAATCCTCTAAAAGGTACCAGAATCACATGATACCGGGACATCATCAAACTTCTGCATGTGTTCCGTTTTGAATTTTCCATCGAACGGCGTTTGGACAAGGTCTCTATAACTTACGTGAACCGGAATATTTAAAGTTTCAAAAAAACTAAATTTTGAGCTGAGGATGAGGACTAGAATTTTTTTTTCAGATTAACGGGTGGGGTATAATAAACGGATCAAGATGTTTTCCTTCTTTTGAGATACTTCTCTTTAATGTGGAGACTTGATGTAGAGCTCATTCCATAGAGACTTGAAGGCTCTACAAAACTGCCCGTTTCCGTTTTCCAAATACGTTTTTTTTCTAATCACAAAATTTAAAAAGTTAACACATGCTCAATTTTCAAACTGCGATCTGACGTTTTTCTGGATATCTGTTCGATTAGTACCCCATTTTTTCAGATGAAGTTTGCTATTAAACATAAATTATTTTGCATGAACCAAACGGTAATTTTGTTCTCTATATTTTTACACTCTTTTCAAAATTTTTGCTTTTATGGTCTGGCAGAAATAGACTAGGAACTGAGAGGTGGAAGCCTTTCCGTCACGTTTTCTTGAAAATGGATTTTTCAGAACCAGATTAGTGTGCAAAAAGTTTATTTTCACACAATTAAGTGTAGAATTCAATGCTAAACACGTTGTGTCTTCACTTTAAAAAGTGAAAACTATAATTTTTCATAAACTCGACGGTATAAGTTCAAAACGTTTGTCAGAAAGTGACTGTTTCTGTAATTCCACATTTTTAAATTCAAACATTTGCTGATCCATCTATCTTTCAACAATCTACGAGCTACATATAAAGACGGCGAATCTAATGGTATGCTTGAAATGACAAAAAAACTGTTTCTAAAAAGCCTATGACCCTTTTATTAGTTTCTGGTCTTCGCAACTTGAAATTGAGCATATGTTAATCTTATACATTTTGTGATTAGAAAAGCGAAGATAGGCAGTTTTATAGAGCTTTCCATTCTCTATCGAATGAGCACTGAACCAAGTGTCTGCAATAAAGGAAGGTAAGTAGGGAAACATTTTGGCCCATTTCGTATGGCCCACACGTTATAGCCCACTCTCACTAGATCTGACATGCTATTTGAAATGTTCCATCGTTTGCAAGTTTTTCCAAAATATGTTTTAAGCCAATCCGGCGTGCGAAAAACTACGGTTTTTCTGAAACCCTACGCTGAGAGATTTTTAAAACGATCTAAATGAGCCAAAAGGAAGAGCTTAGTTAAAAACTCTTAAGTACCAGACGACATTAAATTTGAATCAAACGGCTAGGACGTAGCCTAGACGAACTTTCTTATGTAACACATCTATTGATGTACTTCTTCAAAGAATTAGACCATATGCTTTATTTCTCAGTAAAAAATATTTTTCATAATTATCAACACTACGAAAAACAAAAGAAAACATTGTATGTTCTCTTCAGAGTCGAATTATAGTATAAAGTGGGTAGTTTCTATTCAAAAGAACATTTATTTTTCCTCCTTTTTTTTTCATTTCTAACAATTATGAAGTTGAGTACCGTTGTTTTCATACTATCTACTTTTATTCTGTTAGAATGTTGGATAACGAATGCTCATTTGGCTATATGGACAAAATCTATGTTTGGACAAGATCGTGGAAATGTTAATTCCAATCGAGCAGCACAGCCATTACAAGATATGAGATTTGATCAATGGTGGTGGCATGGTGATATGAATGATCCTCCAGATGAAGGAGAGGTTTTCAATTTACCAGCAAATGGAAAAGCTGATTTGGAAATTTCCAGTAATAAGGCTTTCACTAGTTTGGGTACTGCTCGTCCTGGACTGAAACCAAATCCAAGAGATTCACCTAATCCATGGTTGAACGAAAATGGTTGGGGAAGTATGTTAATATTTTATTTCTAAGTAATTCCTTCACTAACCATCCTGCTGTTTTAAAATTCTAGATATGCATGCAAGACAACGTCAAGATGTTGCCGGGTGTGCTCTAGGCATTGCTTACAAGTCGGATCCAAGACAAGTTAAACCAGAAGATTTTGTCATATTTTCTGTTGTACATGATTGTCCTGCTCGGCAATTACAAGAATTTAAAATTCCCGATCTACCAGCTTGTCCAAATAATAAATGTATGTGTGCATGGTTTTGGATTCATGAATCTTCGGGTGGCACAGATCAAATGGTAGGTACAGTCACTAGTACATCCTTCGTTTGCATAAAGCTAATAATTATTGTCAAAATCCCTTATCCTTTCTTTGTAGTACATGACACCTTTTGTTTGTACTGTGACTGGAAAACCATCTAATAGACAAATCGGTAAGCCACATCCACCTGTTAAATGTGATATGGACAGAAGTAAATGTGTTAAAGGAGCTAAAGCACCTATGTACTGGAAAAATTTAGAAGGAAACAATATGTTTGAACCGGGTCATTTTGCTCCAACGTACAGTTCAAAATATGGTTATGAAGATGGTGCACAAAATGACATATTCGTTTAAAAAACGTCATTTTCTGAGAGTAGTGGTGAAGTAGCTTTTCCTTTTCTTGAAATATAAATAATAGCAAAACCACAGTGAAAAATCACTGTTCGATTTTTATATATACATATGTACGAGGCCTTGTGCATATGTTAGAAGAATAGATGTCATCTTGGCGAAAGAGAGAAAATAATCAGATTTAGAAAGGATGACGAAAGATTAGTAACCTATATGAGTATATGCTTTTATATCATTCCCGCCTAGCAAAAATTGATAGTAATATAAACAAACCTCAAACGTACCGGATCGAAAAGGCAATGATCAGACTGCACAAAATCCAATTCTGGATACTCAACGTTTTAATCCAAAAAACCAACTGGTTCAGAAGAAATTTTATTCTGACGTTTACTTCATGATGATGTTTTGATACTACAAGAATTCTTCGAACATTTGTACTGGAACACTAACTTCTGTATTGTTTGTTCTTATACAGTGTCACATGGATGAAGTTCTCTTTGCTTAGTCAAAGGACGGGCATCGGTTTCTTCTTGAGAATGGCCCAATATGATTTTGAGTGAAAATTATCAGAAATGATGCCCATTCACATATCAGCACGTTTATATCAACTCCAAATAGTGTGTATGTTAAACGTGTTTCTTTCTGAATTACCTTTAGCATAGAAAAGGTCTAAAAAATATAAAATTTTCAATAAATTAAAAGCTCATATTTTCGTTGTTCGCGATGAGCTGAAAAGAGATTATAGAAACTTTGTTTTTTGTCGTTTAGTCCTATATTCGAATACCTATACCCTTTTTCAGACAACATCGAGATTGTGCATCTCAAGGGAACAGCCCTATAAATTGACCCTGGCAGCATGCCTAAGAGCTTCCGCAGAATTGCGAAATATAGACAACCAACTTCTAGTGACGCCGATTTTATTGGATTTTTGCTTAGCTCTTTCTCCTCTTCATAAAACGATTTACATTAAAACTTCGAAATATTTTCCTTTTCAAGAAAGTAGTGTATTTATGAAACAAAGCGAATAGTTTATGCGAAAAAACGTTTTCCTGTGGCTTCGTTATCTCCATAATAACACTATTGGTGAACGTTCGCTGTGGCTCTGCTCATTTCGTCTTCATCGTCGTCCACCGATCGCTGATAACCCGGATTCGACACGAGATAAAGCACGACCAATGTAAACAGTGTGGCAAATAGTCCAAAAAAAATCATAATCAAACGTTGCGGTCGTTTTTTATCATTTTCAGCGAAAAATGAAGTTAAACCATATTCAGAAATACCCATGAGAACCGTGGCCAAAGCACATAGAAATATGGCTTTTCCCCAAAACTTATGGCTTAAATATAGAAAAAGAAGAACGAGATGCTGGTTGTAGTTTTTGCATATTCGAAGAGACATCACTTACAAGCATTTCTACTCGAGCAGAATGCGCTTTGACTCTTCCTTAAGAGTCATTTAAATTAATTAGCAAAGTCAGAAAGACGCGGTTGTGAAAGTAACAGATCAGGTTGCTATTTCTATCATTGCTGGTATAGATGTATACAAATTTCATATTGTTTAGTCTTCATATTGCTTTGTTCAAAAGTTATAGATGAAACAAACGCGGGGAGCCGATCGAAAAATGGCTAATTAGAAAAGAAATTCATTTTCGCAAAAATGGAGCTTTATGAAGAACTGGGATCAATTCCACCATCAGTTCCTCACCAGTTGGGCTGTATACAGCAAAAATATTTTGTTTAGAGAATGTTTGGGGTAGGCAGAACACCGTCTTTATCTACAACTTTAGAACAAAGCAATATGAAGACTTCGTCTTTTACCCATAAACTACTGTACATCTATACCATTAATGACAAATATGAGCCCGACCTGTTACTCTACTAATTGCAACCTGTCTGACACCACCTGTCTTTCTCAGGAAATGGTTCTCAACAGATAAGTAGCTAACCTTAAACTTGTTTTCAGATCCTGCTCCAGTGGAGTGAAAGAGAAGTTTAATTCCAACAGAATTTACGCTGTAAGGCTTGTGATTGACACTGACACTTCTATTCGTAATGTTGCAATACCTACCTTGGCATGTACGCTAGTCGTACTCTTAAACTTAATTTTGGAAACAGAAAGCTAATGAAGCCACAAATCCATTGAAGAATGAATAAGCTAATAGTCAGAATGCCGAGCCATGAATGAAGAGACATAAAGTGTGGATTGGGCGGTTTACTTTCGTTTTTATCTCGAACGGCAGCGGTAAATCCAACAAGTGTGAATATCAACGACAGAGCCAACAGTGCTGCATGCATAATTTTAACCGGTAATTTTCTTATATTTCGAAATGTGCGATAGGACAGAATCGCATTTCCGTAGCAGAACAACATGCCCAATGTCAACATGAATGGATGAAAATTAAACGGTGATTTTGACCAATCATACGGACCTTCTAACTTCTTGCTGCCAAACAAAATACCTATTAACACGACAGATACAAATCCACTAAGTTCAGCCATTGTGAGCATCAAATAAAAATAACGTATCGAAGTACGGGCACTACCAAATTCATCGACCATTTTTTAATAAAGAATTTTAGAGACAGAGCAATAAGTCGTCAAAATTATCTGAAATTAGTGCCCTATGAAAATAACTAGTTCACATTAACCCTGGATAACACAGTATGAAGTCTGAGCCCATAGACGTTGTAGTCTAAGTACTTCCAGTTCGTTTGCAAGAGTTACACCACGTCCCCACAGTGGGCATTCAGACGGAAATTTGAGCAAAACTCGACAAGTGAGCTTTTTTGAATTCGAACAGTAGTAAATGTAGTCCTTGAAAAGCGCTATCGAATGGTATATATTGATCGACTAGTAGTGAACTCCTTCGATGAGTAAGTTAACTTACGAACATTCACAAAAAACACCGTCAAATATGACACATCTGCAAAGATTCTTATTTCTATGTACAGACGTGCAATATTACCCTGTCCAAAGCACATATTCGGAATCAGCACAACCTATTGCATCTCCTGATAATAGCAGGTACTCCTTTTGCATCTTGTACGAAATGAAAAAAGGTCTAGTAGTGATTTTACAAAAACTCATAGGATTTTCGAGGTAATTCGCATTTTTCTCCCCCATAAGAGCACAACAAAAACATATACTGAGGGTGATGATAGAAAACGCACAACGCCATCCTCAAGAAAATCGATTTGTTTTGCTATATGTGCTAAAACAGACGTGAGAGTTTTACAAACTTTTGCCCAAGAAGTGTAAAATACGGAAAAAAGCTGATGTGTTGAAAAAGGAGGAGAAAGTTTAAGTATACTTCATTGACTAACTAGTAAAAAAAAACTAAATTAATTAATGGCAGATCAAAGAAAAAACTATGAAAACAAACTAAAAGTTTGGTTATATAGTGGGTCAGGAAAGAATCAGAAAGGTATACTGTCTTGCTATAAATTGTAGGTCTGCAAATTAGATTCTGAATACGGCTTTTTATTTAAATTATATTATCAACTCTATAACACCTTTTTTACTTGCAATACAAGGACATTCTGACTTACTTTTTAGTAGTAGTGATAAGAAAGCAAAGAAGAAATTCGACAAGTGATAAGTAATGAGTTGTGTGTGATACACACTCAGAGCAGAATAATGGTGACATAACATTTTTTCATTCGACCCCTTTACGCATTTTATCTTGCATCTATACATATTTGAACATCACTATCGGTTTACGGTGCGGTTAAAACTCCATCCAGTAATAATGTTACGTAAGAAAAAATGCTTACGTCAGACGAAAGAGGATATGATGAAGTGTGACAGCTCAGGTGGTTAGAAGTTGGCATGGATATCATGGTCTTAGGTTGAGGCCCAGGCGCGTCATACTTTCTCTCGTTCAGCTGTCTAACATCTTTTCCGATTCAATGAATACCGTCATTAATAAATAAGTCCTACATAGCACTTAGAACAAGGAAACATGTTCTTTACAAGCACACAAGGACATTTATCTTTTATAAAAAGAGCAATCGGAAAGCTTCGCTACATGAACTGCATAAACATAAGAAAAAAGATTTGAGAGACGGCTGTTTCAACACAAAAAAAGTTGCTTATTTTTCAGTCACCCTCGCATTAACCAAATAATTTTGTTTTTCTCCTCCTCCTTTTGATTTTTCTGCTCGATGTTGACTAATCATTTTAGTTGGTGGTATGAATATGGCTAGTGATGAAGTGTCGACAATGAATTATTATTTTTAAGCCAGAAAAAAAATAAACACTACTTTTTTCATCAGACTAGTACTCTGTTCCTATAATGAGAAATTGTTTTAATATTTCTTTCATCGGCTAAAGATTATGGAACGTATAAAGCACGAAGGGTATAATAGACAACAATATTGTTGTATACCACAAAACCGATAAACTTTGATTACGGAAATTGTGCAACATGCAGAGATAAGTGAAATGATGTTTTAAGTACTGCATAGATAGCCCGAAATAACTTGTTCTGTGCAAAAGTCAATTGCGAAAATCCTAAATTTTCTATGGAGATCATTTCATAGTTCAAAAACTGGAAAAAAGTTCATCTGTTAATTCAAGAATTGGTAATTAACTGATTTTCTAACGGTGCTCACATAAACGATTATTTCTTCACAGAAGCCGAATAAAAAGGAAATGTATTGTACAGCATTCGAAAGAGCGTTTCAACCACTCTTGGATATAATAATCAGTCATCTTTCAAGCTTATCCTTAAAACAAGACAAGAACCGTTTTGAAGAAGATGGAGAACGAACATTCGTACACAGTCGTGTCGACGTTAATAAGGTCGACCTTTATGTATAGTATAGCTAGTAACATGTGAGTGATCACTTGTAAAGACTATTTAAATATAGGGTAGCGCTATTGCCACTCACTGAGAGTGTCAACAAAAGCTATTGCCACTCTCTGAGAGTGTCAACAAGAGCTATTGCCACTCTCTGAGGGTAGTGTACTGCAACTAGAACTTTAGAGAATGAATATATGAAA